CTTTCAGCAGGTACAGCGCCCCCATGATCACCACCCACCCTGACGGGAGCTGGTCTTACTCTAAAGCTACTCAGCAGTATGACGTATGTTTCAGCTCAGACACGCTCAAGAGTGACATAGTAGTTTTCCCCGCCCCGTTTCCACCTGTAGATGGCGAACTCATCAGTATTAACGGAGGAGACACTTTTACCAGTACTCAGACTTTACCTAACAAAGAAAAGGTAAGAACACAGTGTTTATAACAGCTTACAATTTTACACAAAGGAAGCGCGTCATTGAACTTGTCTACATGCGGTTAATTTATCCTGCTTTCAAAGATTAACCTTTACAACTGTCCGCAGCTTTAAGCTAGTCTTTTCCATTTAAACTCGCTGTTTAAATGCCGCAGAAGAGAAGCCAGTATGCGGATAAGGAGCTTTTGGTGGTTTTGTTTAAAATTAATATAATCACTGCATGTGAGAATATTTATTTGATTTTCCTTTCAGATTGTTTCATATATATTGTTTTAGGGTTCGTTTCCTTCTTGTTTGCGTTTATTTTTTCGTTCATCGTTGCCTTGTTGCTCTTTAACAGTCATTTCACTCGATGTTGTAATAACTCAGATTTTGCTTGTGTCCTTACAATTTATTTCAATATACCCTTAGCATATACCTAAAAGATAGCGACATTTTGTGAATACGCCGTTTTTGACACACCGCAATGGGTTTCACGCCTTAGGTGGTATATTTCAGTTAAAGGCTGAAACAAGCGAAAAACAAACAAATATATTCTAAAATTAAAACAAATAAATAAGACAGTGTTACACACTAACAATATAAAGAGTGTTTTATTTTCCTAACAAATCAACCAGATGTTTTCTGGTTCTGTAAAACTGGACTGATGACATTTATTTTATTTTCCCTTGGTTTCTGTTGTAATTGGTGTATAGAGCCATAAGAGGGCGGTGTAGACCATAAATCAGAGACATGTCCCGAGGCCCCTCCCAGATTGATAACGTAATGATGTCTTGTTGGGCTGTGACACAAAGAAACACAGAAGCACGGAGAAAAGGCTCGAGCATGATCTGCGCTGAGGATGAAACAGAAGAAAATCGATAACATTTCCTGTCAATATTTGACATAAACGGGACCCGTTTAAAGTTGGTTTCATGCCCTTTTTGGATTATGGCTTCAATTAACAAAAGTCCTGCGGTGATATACTTGTTTTTTGTCCTGCTGGATTTTTATTCGGAAACGGCGTCCGGGCAGCTCTCGTACTCGATATCAGAAGAGGTGAATCGAGGGACTTCTGTAGGAAACATAGCCAAGGATCTAAACCTAGATGTCCATGAGCTGGAGCCTCGCATGTTTCAGATCGTTAGCGGATCAAAGAGAAAATATTTCGAGGTAAATCTAAAGACGGGCGTTCTCTTTGTCAGTGATAGGATAGACAGAGAGGAGCTCTGTGGAAAGGCCACGAAATGCACACAGAGCGTGGAGGCTGTGATAAATGCCCCACTCAAGCTATATCGCTTAGAAATAAATATTCTAGATGTTAATGATAATTATCCAGCTTTCAGTACTGACTCGCAAAGTATTGAAATAGCAGAAATCACATTACCCGGGACTAAATTTCTTGTATTGTCAGCCTTTGATGCCGATGTGGGGAAAAATGGCATCAGTATATACAAATTAAGTGCAAATGAACACTTTTCATTAGCAGTGAATAAAGGAGAGAGCGTATCTGCTGAACTAGTCCTCCAGAAACCTTTAGACCGAGAAAAACAACCAGTAATAAGACTCACGCTGACTGCTGTAGACGGCGGAACACCACCGAAATCCGGAACCTCACAGTTAATAATCAATATCTTAGACAATAATGATAACGTCCCAATATTTACCAAACCACTGTATAAAACAAGTGTCACTGAAAACACGCCGCCAGGCACATCAGTGATAACTGTGACGGCGACGGACAGTGATGAAGGGCCAAACGGGGAAATTTCATATTCACTAAGCAGCAAGGACCAAGACCATGTTCTCAATATATTTCAAATTGATGAGCACACGGGATTATTGACAGTCAAGGGGAAGATTGACTTTGAAGAGCACCCGGCTTTTGAAATCCGCGTGCAAGCTTCTGATAAAGGCTCTCCTCAAATGACAGCACAGTGCAAAGTATTAATAGAAGTAGTGGATTTAAATGACAATAGCCCTGAAATTTCTGTAACCACCCTCAGTAACACTGTAAAAGAGGATGCAAAAATAGGTACTGCTATTGCACTTGTGTCAGTTGTGGACAGAGATGGGGGTAAAAACGGAATAGTCTATTGTGATATTAAAAGTGAAAGTCCCTTTAAGTTACAAACGAATTATAAAAATTACTACTCCTTGGTAGTAGATGGTCAGCTAGACAGAGAGAGTCATTCTCAATATAATATCACTATCACAGCTAAAGACGATGGAATCCCAGCTCTCACAAGTACGAAGGATTTTAATGTTTATGTTTCAGATGTTAATGACAACCCCCCCAAGTTTTCAGACACTGTGTTCAATGTATATTTAAAAGAAAACAGTCCACTGGGAGCTACTCTGCAACGAGTATCTGCACTGGATGTAGATATTGATCAAAATGGACAGGTAACCTATTCCATTGTTGAGAGTAAAAGTAACTCCTTGCCAATCTCGACAATGGTAAATGTAAACTCTAAGACTGGAGATATAATCAGTCTGCAGTCTTTTAACTATGAGGAGTTAAAAACGTTCCAGTTTGAAGTTCAGGCCACAGATTCTGGTGTTCCTCCACTCAGCAGCAACGTGACTGTTAACGTTTTAATCCTGGATGAAAATGACAACAGTCCCACGATTCTCACGCCATATTCTGAGCACGGCTCCGTTAACAGTGAGAACATCCCCTATTC